CGGGACGACAAAGCTGTGCAACACTGGAGAAAGCACAACAAGGAAGATGGAAGCAACTATTAAACAGTTCTCGTTTGACTCAGCTTTGGAATCAGTTTAGGAAGGATTAGACTTGGGGGTTTTTGTTGAAACGTGAGCAGGAAGAGGCTCTACGCTCATTAATTTTTAGAAGGACGTACTCACCATTTTCCCCACCAGCTTTCTGTCGTGTTTACCACGTCATAGTCAGTGGTGCTCATTGGTCAGAGCGTTGGCCAATAGGCACAGACATGGTTTGAAAAATCTTCCGATGTCTCTTTCATCGGGGCCAGACGAAATTACACCTTTAATCTCACATTTATTCTGGTTTATCAGGCTAGAAGTCTGGGCATCTTTGCTTACTGCTGCCTCTGCAACCAGCCATGGTTAAGTGGAAGTGGATGGATGGATGGATGGATGATGGATGGAAGAAAGAAAGAAAGAAAGACCTTCCTTGCAGTAATGGCTGCCCATCCTTTGGCTCATCAGGAAGACTCAACCTCAGTCAGATTAGATGGAGAGGTTCTGCAAATATGTATTTTCCAGTCTTAATAAACATTCCTATATAGATATATCTCTCTCACATCTCTGGTGTTGGTACTAGTTTTTCACATTTCCATTACTGTAAAAATGTCCACAACTGTATATTGATGATTAATTATTTCGAGATGCCTAGTATTTATATTGTTAAAACACTGTATTGTTTAGTATTTTGTTTAGTTTCTTAACTCTGACACTTATTCTGTTATTTTTATACAATTTTTTTAAGGTCCTTACTGGTGTGACCACTTTTGCTATAATCCTTTGCTGCTTTAACACCACAGTTTCCACATTCTGGGACAATAAAGGGATTTTCTATTCTCTGTAGGTCTGGATTCAGATTTGACTTTTCTAACGCATGAATATGCCTTAATTTAAACCATTTCACTGCAGAGCTGGTTGTATGTTTAAGGTTATAGTTTACTGAAAGGTGAACCTTTGCTCCTTTCTCAAGGCTTTCTCAGCCTCTAACAGGTTTTTTTTTTTTTTTTTTTTTTTATCTTCACATCAACTTTTACTGACTTTAGAAATAAAGCACCTAGAGCAT